AATCCTGATGATGATGTTACTATAACTGACTCTAATACTAATGAGAATTTAACTTCAAATACTACAACAACCTCAAACACTGCTATACCCGAACCATCATCTTCAAAAACCTCAATCAACCTTTTTCAATAGTTTTTTCTTCAGTAGACTACATAGAAGCAGACACCACCTCTGAGATAACGATGTCCTCCACATACTGTGGCCATTATTAGAGAAGAATGATGTAAGTGGACTAGGGATGATAAAGTCCAGTCCTGGTCCGTCCTGGTTCTATAACCTGTAGGTTCTACTGTATGAACTTACAGACCAAGTTTTTACAAACCAGTCCTAGGACCTAAGTTAACTTAAGTCTAGTCCAGGACCTAGTCTGAGAACTTATGTCCGTTATACATATCGGTATGTATTTAATTAATTATGTAACAGCAATAAATCAGCTAATCGACCAACTTTATAAACTTGATTGGTTAAAATTTAGACATATAATTCGTTTGTATCACAACTAACTTTGAGTAGATAATTATTTAGTGACTAGTTGCTTCAAAAGATTTAAGTCGATTCAATTAATCGACTTTAGATTCATATTACTAACTATGCTAACCGTTGATATGATATATGTATGTATATGTATATTTGATTTGTATTTATTTATTTATTTTATCACTAATTTTAATATTTATATTGAAGACTGTGCACGGCACACAGAAACAAAATTTCATATATGATTACAAACTGGCATTTATCTTTTTTTTTTTATTTCTGTACAGAAAAATTTTCTAAATTGTGCAGTATCTGCACATAAATTTTAGTTGAAAATTAATACCGATACTGTAACTATCAAGTTACTAAATATCTTCATTTAACTTTTTGTAAAGTTGATTAGAAATAATTTAATTAAAAGTTGTAAAAAAAAATTTTTGATCATATACTTACTAGAAATTTTTTGATTTCATTATCAATCCAACTTTTAGCACACAGAGATGCTCTTGATGTTTCTAGATGAAGGCGATTTTGAGTTTTTGATATCGTATTTGTTGCTACAGAGAAAGCCTGTTTGCAGACTACACTGGTTGTCTGAATAGATAAATAATCTCTTGCCATATTTGCTAGGGTAGGAAATTCTTTTTGGTGTGCTTGCCACCATAACAATGGTGTAACATTTTCATTACAGGGTAAAGATAAGTATTGTTCTAATTCATCAGTAATTTGGTTTTGATTGGTTTCAAGATTTTGTTCAAAATGTCATCGTTTAAGCCTATTAAAGTAATCTCATGTTGTACTAACTTCATCTGCACCAGATTTAGTATTATTAGTTAGTTTAGGAGATTCAGCAAAATACTGATTAAATACTTCTCTTGTTTCATTAATTGCATTAGTAGTTTGTTGTCTTATTTTAAACAATGACAGTTTTGTTCATAGATTAAGAACAGTTGCTGTAATTGTTGCATCATCAATTAGGTCTTTGTAGTTTTCAATTTTTTTATTGATTGATGCAGCCAACATATATTGACTAAAAGTATCATTATTTATAAATTCTTGAAGGTGTTCTTGAATTCTGGTAAACAAAAAATAAACATTAGCGATTGTTGGATATGAAGATGCAGATAATAATGTAGTAGCTTTTTCTAATGGCTCCATTAATATAAGTACTTCCTATTTTAAAAATTTAGTAATGCATGCAAAATTAATTACTGTAATTAGCTTTTATAATTAGGTCAGATCAAATTTTAATAACTAAGTTGACCTTAAAAAAATCTGGCTAGTTAAGTTAATTTAAAATTTTATGAAAATTAAGACTATGATGCTTGACGAAATAATGAAATCTAACAAAACTATATAAGTTTCATCAAGTTCATTCTTGACAAAACTTATAATTTTGTTAGATTTTGTCATTTTGTCAGTTATTACCAACCAAGGTATTAGGTTTGTATTGTCTAATATTAATATTAATACTAATTTTTACCTTAATTTTATTCCATGTATTTGTTGAAAGCATTAAACATTGAACATCATTATGATTAACTACTAATATTTGTAAAGCAACTTGCATTCTAAGCATTTTTTGTAACATGTAATAAGTGCTGTTCTATCTGGTTTCAATATCCAATTCAGATTTTAAATATTCTAATTTTTGAACAGCACATAATTTTCTTAATTCATCACATAATCTTACTGACATCTTTATTTTTGACATTAGTGCTTGAGTATTAATAATTTCCTGATCAAGTATTTCTAATCCATGGCGTACTGCTAAATTTAAAATATGTGCATTACATCTATAATGGCGAAAAGTTTGATTATTTAATTCTGTTTGTAATCCATTTGCTAAAATTTGCCCACAAACTACTATAGCAGATTCATTATCAGTTGTAAGTGCTAATACTTTATTTGAAAGTTTAAATTCTTTTAGCGTATTATTTATAGTTTCTGCAATGTTGGCTCCAGTGTGACGCATTGTAAAAGAAATAATATCTAGCAAAAATCAGTGAAAACTCCATTGGTGGTCTATGTAATGAATTGTAATTTTGAGAAAAGCTTCATGATTTATTGTTGATATCCACATGTCAGCTGTCAAAAGGACTTTGCTAGTAATATTATTTAAGTTATTTGTTATTTTAGTTCTTAGTATATTAAAATAATCAAGGACTATATTTTTTATTTGAAGTCGATTAGGAATTCGATAACATAAGTCAAATATATTTAATATTTCTACAAAGTTCTTATTTTCAACGATGCAAAAGGGTTGTTGATCTGATATAATCCATTTAACTAAAACATTGTCTCGTTCATTTTTTTGTTTTTTAGGCCAGGGATCAGCACGTGCAAATGATAATTGTGTTTGAGTATTTTTAAGTTTTGGAACTATAATATTATGTAGACTTTTTAAATGTCTTTCTAAGCTTGAATTTTCAGTAGTAGCTGCAAATATTTGGTTACATTTTTTACAAATTAGAACAGATGGATCCTTGGCATCAAATTCAAAGTGGTCCCATAAAGGTGAAATGAGTTTAACTGCTTTTTTGTAGTGGATGATACAGAATTTGGTTCTGGTGTTTGAGTTGATTCATTCGATTCTTCAACATCAGAATAATCATAAAATTCAGTATTTTCACTATCCATAGTAAGTGCCTTGCTCATAAAATTACATAAAGTTATCTATTTATATTTTAAATTTTACGAGTCTAATTATTGTTTATTTCAATTACAATAGATCTATAATTGTCAGGTTATGTATTTTTTTTTTTAATATTGTACATTATAACTAATTTATATTCTTTTTTTTACTTGAGAAAGCCATATAATCATTCTATTTTTTATTTTATTGTTATTTGTTTAGCATCATTATAATTATCACTATTTGCAAATTGATGCATCTTTGATCAAATTTACAAATCATAATTCATTGATTGTTTTCGATTATACAATTGTTTTGAATTATAAATTATTTTATTTGCATCGAATTTTGGGTAAAAAAAAAACACTTAATCGAATAGCAATCAAGTAATTATACATGTGAATTGTAATTTGCAAAATTTGAACAAAGATGCATCATTTTATGGTGATAAACAAAATAATACATGAATAAACAATAGAGTCTGGCTATATATGAATGAATGATTGAGTCCAAATGAACGATTAAGTTTAGCTATACACAAATGAACAATTGAATCTAGCTATACGTACATGAATGAACAATTGAATCTGGCTATATACAGATAAATAATTGAGTCTTGCTATTACTATTAGAATAGAAGTGTTTATTATTAGGCATTCGCTAAGTTGAGAAATTTTACTAAAATATAATATCTAGACGTTTATTTTAAAAATGGAATTAAATCAAAAATAGATATGCTAAAGATAGATCAAAAAATAAGTTGTATATAAAACATATAAACATAATTAACATGATTTAAGTACAAACTATGTTTGATAACGATAAGGCAATACATAGAATTTGTACATATATAGATACATAGTGTGAATGAAATCTTAAAAAGCCTTAAACTTTTTATATCAAACAATATATAAATAAGAAACTATATACGTATTAGGTATTGATTTCTTACAGTGCATTCTAATAAAGTATGCATATATGTACGTATATATACACTTGATAAAATAAGCAGGATGTTATACAATTAAGTAATCGTTTAACTAAAATCATTATGATTGCTTTGCAGTTATGGTATAAATCATCCAACAATATCAATCTATAAACTACGTAATTCAAGGGTTGTGATTTTCTTGACAAATATAAATAATAATTTTATTTATTATAAATTTGTATATTAGGACTTTTTAAAGACCTAAGGACTTAGGTCCTGAAATTTGAACTTGGTTTTTAAAAGACTGGGTTAAAGACCAGGTCCTAGGGTCCAGGACCTAAGGACTTTATCAACTCTAAAGTGGACAGGTTGTTAAGTTCATTTACACAGAGAACCAGTATAATGACGGTCAGACTAAACGCACATGGCAGACTATGGAATTCTTCGCAGCTGTGAGAGCTGAGCATAAAACAATGAGTGCCCCTACAGAAGAAAACCTATCCAAATCATCATTAACACCACTAGACTCCTATAATTTGGATATATATTACCAACTACCTCTATTAAGAGAACCACAAACTATCAATTCATTTAAATGACACTTAACACAAAACAATGCTATGCATCTTACATGTTATCTCCTAATTTCAGTTAGTAATGACAGAACTGAAGCACATGTATACTTATCTGATGACCCTAACATACTACCAAATCACTATATCTTTTCCACTATATATGACTCAGATGATATCCTATTGAGATCTAAACCAAGCCTACCAACTATACTACCTATCTCATCTATCTCATCTATTTCAGAACACCAAACTGCTGAATATTCAACTAACAATCAAGATCAACCTCTCAACTTAACTAT